CTGTATGTTGATATCTTATTTTAACACATTTTTTAATTTGGAAATTTAAGGTATCATTGTCCAAATTTGGAAGTTTAAGGTAGTAATATGAAAAATTAGATAAATGGAGGTAGTAATACGAAAATATTGAATTATGGAAATAGTTAAACAGAAATAGTTATGTAATGTGATGCAACATTCAATTTATGGATTATGAATAAGTAATCACAACAATAATTGGTGCTGATATGAGGCTAATGTATGTAATTACTTGTTGCTAGAATCAATTTTAAATTATATTCATTTACCAATGTGCTTAGGCTAATGTATGTCATTGAACCAAATTTAACAGGCTGAACAGAATAAAAAAGCCAAAATCAATAGACTGAATAGAATAAAAAACATAGTTGATAGAGTCACGAGCATAAATCTTATGTCATTGAATTCATTTAACCATATTCAAAACAACTATTGCTCCATTGAATTACAAATTGTCTTTATTTTAAAACTTTCCTACCAACAACATTCATTGCTACTACAATGCTGACAATGGTAATGAAAAACCAAAGCACAATCACTAAACATCCTAAAATCTTCACCATATTCATCTTAACATCAATCTTTTTCTTTTTCTAGGATATTTTAAGCTTCATTGATACAAGTTGTTGCTGAAGATCATCACATTCTTGATGAAGTCTCACCATCTTTTCTTTGGTTTTTGCCATTTTCTCCTCAGTTGCTTTTTCAACCTCCGTTAAATCACCAATCTTTGTCTTTAACTCTTAAATTGTATAGATTTCTTTCGACATAACAAACTCATTGTCCCCATTTACAGTCTCTTTAACCCAACGAAAATAATTGCAAGAATTAGGTTCCTGCAAACCAAATACAAACAAATTTGTAAACACGATAGCAAATTTAGAACAAATCTGCAGCAAGTTGAACTTATATTCTAACCAGAGCATCTCAAAAATCTTCTACCATGATTAACCTTGCTCTATGAGGTCAAAATTATAGCCGGCTTTTTACGTTTGCAAGTTAAATCACGTTCAATAGATGAGCACGATGAACTATCCACATTACTCATTTCGTGAAGACGAAGACTCAAAACGGAACCCTAGATGGATAATGACAACACACGATAAAGAACTCTAACTTTCCTTTTCCTTTTCTGCTTCTTCTTCCCTTCGAGTTTGTTTTCAGTGTCTTCGTTCAGTGCTTCTTCTTCAATTACAAATTTAGTTTTGGCCCTCTTTCCCTCCTCAGCGTCTTCGTTCTGTGCTTCTTTTTCAATTAGGGTTTTAAATTTGGTCCTCTTTCCCTCACATCAACCAAAACGCAAATGCAACTTTTAGGTTAAAATTCAAAAATGCTTATGTGAATTCTGATGTAGTGGTTTAGGGTGAGGTAGATGAGAGAGAATGACAGTGACATGGCAAAGTGTTAGCCACGTCACCAATTAATTGATGGAGGTTAACGTCAGGTATAAATTTGAAAAAAAAAATTAGTTAAGCATTAAAATGAAGAAAAAAAATTGAGATAATTTTTTTAATTTACCCGTATTTGGAGGTAGTCAAAACATATTTAAACCTTGTTAAAATAATTAGCCAAACCTAACCATCCTTTCTTTGTCAACGAAGAACTCAAACGTTCCCCTTTCATTATTTGCTCCATAGCCGCCTCAATGAAGGCCTTTACTGCAAACCGATCCCAAACAGCGTTATGTTTTATCCCTTGGTCAGAAGAATCTAGAAATGATTTTCCTTTGCTTATGTTTTTGTTCATAATTGGCATATTTGACATCTTATCTCATGAATACATGTGAAATGAAAAGTAAAATGATAAATTTATTTCTATAGGAAACCAAACCGAAACAACCTTAAGTTATATAATTAACATGGTCAAAATTTACAAAAATGCAGAGAACATTTTCTTTATACAGTGCATTAGTAACATTATTATTATTATTATTTTCTTTTCTTTGTTATTGCTCCAAAATTAAAAACTTATACTGTTTCTGATTAACTTTATTATCATCCATAAGTAAAAGAAAAAAAAGGCTTTAATTATTAAATATAAATTAAAACAACAAAATTAATAAATAACTAATGTATGCTTTTAAAATTTGAGTATAAAGAATGGTCATACCAAATATAATGTAGGTTTGTGAAATAATAAAGCATACCAAAAGCACAATTATTGATATGATATCTCCAATATTGCCTAAACAACTCAGCAACGATGGATTAACAAAAAGTAACCTGTTGAATACCAAACACACCGAGAATCATGAAATATTAATTTAAGGCCTTGATTATACATATACCACATTCAAATATACAAGATTAAGAAGATAGTCACATCAAGTATTCTTGCATAATATGAAGCAACTAATTATTAATCATTAGACATTAGCACCTATCACGTTCACTCAAACTAGTTAATGACATATAGACAAAGCTCAGAGTGAAAAAATTGGGAGGGACCAGAAATCATTTTACACAGTATTACAAAAGAGTTTACAAATTTGTGAGAGTTTACATGCATGCAAAGTGAAACTATCCTAACAAAATATTGCCATTTGGGGTGTTCTTTTAAATGGCTGCCAGATTTATGAAAACTTGCGGGTTGCCAATCAAGTGAAAGTACAACTAACAATGCTGGAACCTCGTCAAAGTGGAGTTCATGTAATTTTTATCTAATACTAGACAAGATATGAACCATAAACGGATTACAAAGACATTTGGTCATAATTCAGTTGGAATGAAGCTATTAAGCAAATGATCATCGTAAGATTTATTGGTCATCTTAGAGGATAGAAATATTGATCTGTGGATAACTATAACTAGGAAGAAGAGAGAATCATATGGTTCAGCATAATTTACTACACTTCAGCAATAAAGACAACAAGGAAAATGCCTCTATCTTTCTCAAAGTATATAAATTATATCACTTTCCTCAAATACATACTCAAAAAAATTATATTCACTCTTTTCCTCATATACATATTCAGAACATTTTATATCCTCAAATACACATGGTAAGTCCATACAGATTCATTCATTTCCTTCACAACGCATAGCAAAGCATCTGATCACATGAAACTTTATCAGTCTCCTTCACATCGCATAACACAGCATCTTAGCAAGTCAAGGATCTAGTAAGTCCAGAAAAATTACAAAGGAAATTGACTTGTACTACTAGCAAAATATTACTTATCAGAGCATATTATGGAGGTATTCAAAATCATGTGCACGGTAGGATTTAAAATTGGCTCATTTAGAGATTTCTGGGAATAGTAATTACAAATGCCTTTCTAAAATATTTTCAAGAAAAAAGGCTTACCAAGAAGAGCAGTAAACAAGTAACATAATACAACGAAGGTGAACTCCTACCTCAAACTCTAGAGAGAGAAGTTTCTCCCTCTACATTGTCACTCTCATTTTTATTCATGGATTCATTATCTTCTGATCCTGCAGCTTCAGCTCCCTCACCATCTGAATCGCTTGTTTCTCTTCAGCCTTCTGCTACTCGTGAGTGCCACATTTCTTTATACATCATTGAAACAGTTTTTGCAATTTCGCTCTGTTTTTAACTCTAATATTATTCTTTTCAAATGCACTTGGTAATAATTGGACGAGGTCTAAAACTGTTTGGGTGAGTTGAACTTTTGTATTAGTGCTTTTGAATATATATATATATATATATATATAATTTTATTTTTTATTTTTTAATATTTTTATTAAAAAAATCTTGACATGTGTTTGAAAATTTTCATCTTAGCATGTTTAGATCAACTAATGTAGACAAAGTGAACCATTTTTTACATTTTCGGGAGATTTTTCTTTCCTTTTCAATAAGCAATTGCTTCTCTTTGAATAATGTGAAAGTTATTTTTTAAGTGTTTGCTTTTAGGTACTTGGGATAGAATGATGGGAAATTTAATAAAATGTTAATCATAGAATTCAAACTGGATGGTTAAAATGGAGAAAGACATCAAGAGTTATTTGTTATAATAAATTACCTATCAAACTAAAAAGAAAGTTCTATTTTATATAGTAATAAATGTTAGCCCTCAAAGAAAAGTGAAAAAAAAGTGGTAGTGACAAAAATGAGAAAGTTAAAGTGGATAAGTAGTAGCATAAGAAAAGACAGAATAAAAAATAGTAGTATATGTAAGAATATTGGAATAACACCTATATTGGAAAAGATGACTAAAAATTATTTAAAGTGATTTGGTCATGTGCAAATAAGACTTTTGGAAGCACTAAGGAGAGTGAATTGCATATATTTTAGTCTGGTAAAAAGGGATAAAGAAAGACCCTAAAGAACTTTAGAGGAAATTTTTAAGAGACTTTTTGATTAATCATATTTTTGAAAATTATATTTTTGACTGAGTTCAATGACGTGTGTGATTTGCAATCAACCTCAACTAGTAGGATAAGACTTGATTGTTGTTTTTGTTGTTGTTGCTACTTTTATTCCAACATGCTAATTGCAATTTTAACCTGAGTGATTAGTTTTCACTTTTCATAACATGATTATTTCAAAATAATTCTTATAGTTTTAAATTTTAATTAGCAGCATTGTTTTGTTGGGCGTGGTTTTTGGCAGTTTGCCTTGCTCATGTTCTGTTTGCACTTCAAAGCATTTAATATCTTGATAGTTAATGTTTATACTGGGCCTATGCTTATGTTTACCAATTACTATCATCAAGGATTTTTATTGGGAATTTTTCAGCCTGCTTCAATGTTAAACACATAAAGTGGTCTCTAATAGTTATGGATTGCTCTCGTGATTTTCCAGAACATCTTATGCACAAATTATTTGAGTTTGCTCAAAAGTCAAAGTAGTTCTTAACAGCTTGACTTTCCAGAAGCCCATGCTGTTAAACTCTACATTTATGCCAAAATATATCAACTAAGCTAACATAAATACTGCCTGTACGAATTTGAACAAGATTCAAGTTTAAAAACTGTGCAAATATAAGCAAATTAGTATTGCAAAGATCAATTCCAGCTCAGAATATAACAAGTATAACTACATGCATAGAAGGGAGTATTCCCTCTAGTAGACAAAACAATTAGATCAATATGAATAAATCCCCCCTAAATCAATCAACAATAAAGTATGTCAGATCTAGTCACTAGTCTAGTCAAATTTGGGGACATCTAATTCTGTGAATCAAGTCTCTCATAAAACTCATCCAAGCCTTTGGCGGTAAACCAATCTTTTTTCATCTGCAATATGTCAATGTCAAACAAAACTGAATCAAAATGTATGCTTTAAGAATAATTTTCAGGAACAGCAAACGAAAAAACTTACAAAGTAAGGGTACCCCTTCATGCTAAAATTCATAGGCGCAAGTGTCAAAAACAAATTAATGAAATAGAGGACGAAAAGTCCACATTCATTACCATCTCTTTGTTGTGGCACCTACAATAGTTTGTTTTTTATTTCAATCAATGGTTATATTGTTATACTGGGGATGAAAATCATAGAAGGGGTGATACTTACCTTGGGCACCAATAATGGAATTTGAGATACAAGAGGCTTAGTCTCAGGCCTGTCTCCTGTTTTAAAAATGTCTACTACAAATCTGAAAATGAAGATAAAAGCTTGCATATCTTAAATACTCCAACTGCACAATAATGTGTGATCAAAAGGAATAGATATTGTTCAAGAAAGACACACCTTCTAATCTCTGGTTCAAGTCGCCTTGGATTGGCCATTTCAAGAGAATCCAGCAACAACATGCACCGTGATCTAGTAGTTGATTGCAAGCTCTCACCAAAATGGCACAGGATCAAAAGGCTCCAATGACCCCTACAAGATTGAGATTTAAAAAATGTATTCCATGGATTAACATTTGACAAATGAAAAAATGGCTCTTCGGCCAAAAAAGGAAATTGAGTGCATTTACCAGCAGACTATAGGAATAAAAACATACGCCTTTGAGAAAATATGTTCTTTTTTAATCCAAGACAGCACCTTGTCTTTAGATGCAGTCCTGTAAAGGCTAAACCATAAGCTGTCAAAGTATGTGAAGGTCTTCTTCCTATCTTCTGGGAAACTCTTCCATATTTTCCTGTCAAAAAAATTATATTTAGAAACAAGACCACAATTTTGAAGTTTCTCCCTGAACATCATAAAGCAGTAGACTGTAACTCACTTCAAGTAAGCATCGAAGACTCCACTGTCTAGCTTTTCCTTGGGTCTAGAAACTGCTTCCTTGCCATAAAATTTTCTCTTCCGCTTTGTTCGCAATCGCCGGGGAACATTGCTCCAATTAAATGGAAATGATGAAAAAACACTTCCTATTGCATCTCTTACAGGCTGTGTTTTGTTCCGTTGATGATAGACACGGATGTTTTTACATCCTGAGTTGATTTTTCTTTCTTGCCTCAAAAAATCACAGAACAACAATGAGAGACAGAAGCAAATTCTCCATTTGGTTCCCAAAGGATATTTAATCTCAAAACACCATGCCATAATTGTAATTTGTGAAACCCCAATATCATCCAAGTTTAAATAAAGAAAAACAAATAAACCAATCTTAAAATGTAAGAAAATGAAAAATGCAAATGCAAAGAGGCATGGAACCCTAGAAATTCACAAGCACGGTCCTACAACATTTAAGCCATGTATAATGTATCTAACAAATTTACATGTTCATCAATAAAATTACGGCGAAGTTATTTATATACACAAACTAATTACATCACTTTTTTTTAACAAAATTCTCAAACAGAGATAAGAGCAGAATTCGATTATATTATTTACAAGCAAAGCAAAATTCTAATGTTGATTAAACATGACATTGTGCCATCAAAGCAAATAACTAGTTATATATCCGACAACCTCAAACATGTGTTGCCAGCAAAAGAAAAAAATCACAAAACAACCGTAAAATAGTGGATAAAAAAGAAAAAAGTTACGATGATAAAGAACTAACCTTGGTTGTCATCAAGCTTGCTAGTGTTCATTGACGCTGAACGCAGTTTCTTTATTCTCGTTTTTATTATTTATTTATGAGTTTATTTAATAGGAGGTAAGAATGGAGTTTTAATCTGATTATTTTGGCTGCAAATGATTTGGTTTCGTGGACCCTTTAAGCGGTTACCAGAGTTTGTCACAACAATAACGTTTGGGAAGACGAAAGGAGTTTAGGCTATGAACAGTGAACACTATATACTGTTTTTGCTGGGTGCTAACGGATTCAGTAGAATCGGCAAAACTCGAACTCAATCCGTCATATAAACTAGAACCGTCGGATGAAGATCACATGGTTTATGGGACAGTCTCATATGCACCCTTATTTTATAACCATTCATTTAGCATAAAATTTTATCTACCGTTGATGAATTACCGATAAATTATGGAAGGATAGATGACAGTGGATTTACAGGGCTAATTACGTAAAAAATAATAGTAAAAAGAATAAAAATATATAAAAATCATGGTTAATTGTTTTATTATGCATAAATTATTAAAGAGAGAAGAAAATTTATTTAATTATAATTTTTAAACTAAATTAGGAATTTTTGATGCATTCATAGGAATTAAAAAAAGGTTCTAGAATGCAAAACAAGAAAGAAAAAAAAACTTTAAGTGAATAATAATAAAGTAAGAATGAGGATTAGGGTTTAGGAACAAGCTGGGACATCCAAATTATGACGTCTCTACTTTTTTCCACACATGAAATATTTATTTCTCGTACCAATTTAATGTTTTTTTTACACATCAAATAAGAAAAAAAATTATTTTCATTTAATTGTTCTTGAATTTTTTTTAAAAATATTCAAGAATGTGAGATAAAGAAAAGACAGAAGCATTGCCGTGACTCATCTTCTTCTTTGTAGAATTCTATAAATAGGTGGCTTATTACATAAATTATAATTTTTTACTCATTTCTCAAATTTCTTAACTTAATTGTAATTGTATGATTTCCTTTTAGTTTTTTTTTTTTCCTCTCTGTTTTCTTTCATTTTCTATTCGAAATTGGAGTTAAAGGTCCTCAGAAACGAGAGCTGAAGCTTTAATGGAGGGTTCCACAAATTTGAAATAATATATAGATTAAGTCGTGAAAGTCTAATATTTTATTGACATTAATAAAATTATGTGGATTTACGTAATAATATTGTAACAAATTTTAATTTTTTAAATAATAAAATGGCAAGTATATCTATAAAAAAGAAAAAACACATTCAAATAAATGGGTCAGTTAAAAGAAAATTACTTAGAGGTAAATAAACCTAAAAGGTGTTTCTATGTACCAAATTTAGAAGGGTGCATGATAAATTCATCCATGATTTATATTTTAAGTATGTTTTTTAAAATCTGATTTTTTGTAAATGAAATTTGAGTCATTTGATCTTTGTTTAGTGGTTTTAATTGAATGACTACCTAAATGCAATTGGTTGGAGAGATCGAACAAACTTAAGGAATTTTTTTTTCTATTTTTATTTAGTTAACCTTTAAGTAAGATTTTAATTTAGATTTTACGTATGAAAAAAAAATTCCTCTTGAGAGAATTAGCTTCACATTTGCATGTAAAAAAAAATTATGAATGAAAAAGTTAGTGTTATGGTATTAAAAATACTTTTAACTCGAATAATATTATCTCTGATAAAAAATTAATTATAACTTAAAAATTAAACTAATTAAAAAGATTAAAAAATAATATTTATAGTTTATTAACTTTTCTAATTCTCTTATGTTAAGATGTTAAATGTCTTATGAATTTTTATAGCTTGATTTTAACATTTAGCATAACAATTTAAACTATCAATTAATAACATTTACATCTAATAAAATGTTAAATCATTCTTAAATAATTTGAAGGACAGTTAGAGAATATAGTTTAATGTTTTTATAAAACTTAAAACACTAATTAATATTAACTAATTTTTTAATTAGAATAATATAATTATTTTGGTTTATATTTAAGATAAAAAAAGTATTATATTTCTATTGCTTCTATATATATTTTGTGGAGTGTTAATAAATTATTATTTATTTATTTTTTCTAAAAGAGGGTTAAGATAGGGGATCTTTTATTTTCATTTTTTTTTTTTTAGAAATGAAGCTATTGGTGATTAAGTATCAATAAGGATATCAACAAAAACTTTAGAGCCTAATTTATATATCTAAAAATGTCAAGAGATATCATATTTAATTTAATATTTTTGTAAATAATATATTTTTTATGATAATCACGATTCATAATAATAAATTAAATGATATTTAATCAGATTCATACAATAAAAATAGAATTATTAAGGTAAAAACATAAATTAAAACAAGAAAAAAAAAATAAAAGTAAAAATAGAATAAAAATGAAGAATGATGTTATAATCATAGAATTGATAAGTCAAATAAACGATCATCACTAGATTTTTCGTCAAAATATATTTACAAGAGTTGAGCTGAAATTTTAATTTTACTATGCTCTATATTATCTTCTTCATGATATAATGGAATTGGTAAATTCTTTTAATTTTGTTATAAAAAAAATACTTATGATTGCTTAGTCTGGAGCCATAGTATTAATAGACTTTATTAGGTTATGATTGGATATAATTGATCAATAAACCATTATCTTCTTTTTTTCCCTTGAGCTTGGCTTTAAAAACCCCATATACACATTAAAAAAAAATAAAAAAAATTTAGTTATTGATACAACATTCGATTCTTTATAATTACCTATAATATACTTGAAATTTTTTCTATTCTTTTGTTTGTCGTAAATGTTATGGGGCTTAAAAATATATTTTATACTGTCTTCATAATGTATGTTTTTTATTTTTCTATTTAATTTATATAGCAATAATATTTATTTATAAAATATATTTTACTTCTTAAAAATAAATATAAATAAAAAATAACTTTAAAATTTTAAAATATAAAAAATAAGAATTGTATTATAAAATAAAGATGAATAATGCAGTAATAAATTAAGAAAAAAAGTATTTGCACTTATTTTAAGCTTAAAAGTATTTTAAAGTTTAAGTTAAAAATAATAACTTTAAAAGTAAAGCTAAAAATTATTTAATAATTTAAAAAGTTGTCACTTAGAATTATGTGTAAGAAAAAGAGGTAAAGACAAAAGTTTTTTAGATGGGAATGGTTGTGCACCACCACCATAATTTGAATGTTACTACCAACATAATGAAGAAATTTGTTGAACTATTGAAAATATATTTTAATTGTTAAAAAATTTGTTTAATAAAAAAAATTAGTAAATTGATTAAAATGGATATTTATAATATTTTTAAAATGTTACTTCAACTAGTGTTTTTTATTTTTATCTTTCAATTGAAAGTATTTTTCTATAATATTTTGAAATATTTTTATCTATCAAATTTTAAAAATATAACAAGCTTTCTATACTGTTTTTAATGTATAAAATATTATCATTCATAGAAAAAATTAAAATTAATTTTTTATTTAACCAATTCATTCAATCTTATTTATTTATAATATAAAATTATCAATATATATATATATATATATATATAATTTTATTTATATTTAGATATAAAATTTTATGTTTAGATTGAGTGCTTTCTTAAAGTGCTCCAAAATTTAAGAAGTTCATTTGAGAAATAAATTACAAAAGCGTCAATTGAAAAAGATAATTTGATTGTTAAAAGTACTAAAAAAGTGAAAAGGAATAAATAGAACTCAATGAAAGTAGAAAATATTTATGCAAAATTAAAAATTCATAATTCATATAAAGATAATATGATAAAATTATGGAGAGTTGATCTTACTCTCTTTAATGGAGACATTGTACACTTTATTATGGATGATCTATATATTCATTAAATATGAAAGATAATGTTTATTTTCAAGCTCTTAGGCAACGTTGGAATTAAGTATATGATGAACAAATTACGTAAGATGTATAGTCAAAAATGCAAAATCAAAGTTTTAGATTAAAGTCTTAGATCTTAATTTTATTGAATAAAAGAATTATAAATTTATTCTTTTTGAAGGTCTTTAATTAATCTTGAACTTTCATTTGTTGGTGTAAAGACGGTAGTCCTATTTAAATATAAGGATCACCAATTTTATAAAATTGCTATATGGATAAGAATTTCTTATCTTCCATTGAAATTCTGTAATAAGAAGTTTCTTTGATAAATTAATTTAACATTGGGATCAACGCTAAGGGTTGATTACAATATTATTATCCAATCTAAATGTAAATTTACAAGAGTATATGTGAAATTAGATTAAACAAAAAACAAAAAACTTATTCCTAATTGAATATGGAAGCTTCACTAAATCTACTTCAATTATTGGAGATATGGTCATAAATAGGAAAATTGCATAAAAAACATGCAAAAAGTATAAGATCTTGATAAGGTTAATGAGATGGAAGGTAAAATTTAAAACTTTTCATTTCCTAATATATGGATGCTAATGTGATTCTTGAGAATTTATATTCTCCAATCCTTAAGGCATATATTTTCAAGAACTTAGAATGTTTATCAAGAAACTATTATGGAGAAAATAATATAAAATGGGATTCTAAGGTTTCCAATTTTTCCAAGTCCTTTATGAAGACCAACATATAGGATTTAGATTTAAAATTTTGCAAGAAGAAATGACTAAAACCTAGTAGATATTATCAATGGTAGGAGGAGAATTATTTGTCTTGATATAAAAGAGTTGCACAAGAATATAAGTAAATTGACTTAAAAATTAAATGGGTAACAAAGTAGGAAAATGGCTCAACGTGTTAGAGAGAATACTGATACTAAGAGGTATTCTAAATAGAATAATATTCTTGACCTTGGTAAAGGTATTATGGTGGTGTCTTAAAATGATTTTAATGAAGAAAATAATGAGTCAGGGAAAGTTTTAACTAGAAAT